ATGATTTATTTCCAAAATAGAATATAACATCAAATATCAGCTTCAAAACGTTACAGAGGAAGAGCAAGTTTGCAAACTGGCAAGTAGCATTATTTTTCTTTTGCTATAGAAACAACAGCTATAAAATCAGGAGCTTCTCCTGACAATTCTTGGATGACAACTTGTTAAGAGTTTTTGTTGCTAGGTGCGGAGAATTTGTTATATAGTGTTGCAGTACCCTAAGGTGTCGCAGCGACAAGTTGTTGCTGATACGAAACGTGCTCTATTGCTAAATTCCAAAAATTGCGCGAAAACCCAATTCACAATATTAATTACGATTATATTATTAAGAGATCGATTGAAATTACGTTTATTGAATTGTTTTTTAAATTTCATAAACTGATGTCTGAAGCATAAATCATTTCAGGTCTATCTCGTTCTGCTCTGTTCAGAAAATGGAGAGAGATGAACGGTTCGATTCTTTTTGCTGCAACTTACATCTCGTCTCCGTTTCAGTGAAGATGATCATGATTTACTTCAAGAATTGAAGAAGAGTAGATTACGTTTAAAGTATAACTGGGAGAATTTATTTAAAAAATATGAAAATATAACTGAAAGTGGCATCGAAGTAGGTTTTGATGTAAACTTGGTTATCTTTATACTTCCCAAGGTTCAACTTGATACATTCGAAGTATATGCACCAGTAGGAATGGATAGGAAGATCGTTGTGAAGGAAGTTGAAAAACATGAGTTTTTAGGTTCTCAATTTGGGTATGTGAGCTAGATTAATCACAAGAACATTGCTCTGTTTAGAGCATCTGTGTTCTCCGCACCTGGTAACGAAGACTCGCTAGAAGGTTGTCATCCGAAAATCGTCGAAAAATGTCGGAAGATGGATAAGGTAAGAGGGCCACTATAATTAATTCTATTTTCATAACGTCCTTATAGGAGTTTTCTAAAATTAATTCCTTATTGGCTGTTGTGCCACATCGTCAGAAGCTCATACGAGGACCAAACCGAGGAAGAAAGTTCTTTATCAGAAAAACAATCCGAGTATTATTTCACCTGTAGAACAAATCTCTTATTCGAGTTTTCAGGAAGACTTCATCGGTATGAAATCACCATATCATCAGCGTCTTCCTTTGAGTGAGTCATTTTAACATTGTTTAATTATGTTGTTTGTTCAGTAGCCATTGATGCTGGAATGTCAGATGGTCCTATCCCCCCTAGAGCTTTACAAGCAATCGGTTTGTTCCTATTCCGTTTTTTATATTAATTTTGTCAACGCAGAAGGTCCCAAGGAATTAGAAGCTCCAGAATCTCTAGCTGTTGTTTGTGCTTCAGCTGGACAAGGAATCCCGAATATCATTACTCCTTCAATCATATTGAATGATGGACTGAGTGATGGACCGTTGAACCTCTCCTCTCTCTATGAAGGTTCGTTATAGACATACAGTCTGTTTAAGTAATGCTTGATTTGTAGATGAGCCCTCAACCTCTTCTCCCCCAGAAATACAGAACATCAGCTTTGAACCCATAGAATTCGAGATTGTCTGCGAAAATCTCAAGATAAGAGGTGATTCAGCGAAAACTGAAGAAAAACCGAGGCAATAGATATATCTTATGATAACAACGTCTTTTCGTTTTCAGGACGGCGGTTAAAAGAACTTCGACAGAGAGCTTTGGGAACGAAGTCGACGCGAAAAAATTGAAAAAGTAAAAATTTTTCCTTGTTCTCTTGTTTTGAGTTTTTGTTTCAGAGATGATGAAACACAGTCAGTGAATGGTGTCGGGTTGGATATCAGTTTAGACCTCAGTAGTTTGCAAGAAACATACAGTTTGAATGATAATTTTTGGACCAAAGCGGTTTGTGTTTAGATTCTGCTTTCCTTATCAGAGTCAACAACAGAGCTGTGAAAACATTATTTCGGATATTGTGCAATATGAAAGTAAAGCTCGTTCACTATGTGGTGTTCCACTTTCTGACATGGTTTCTGGAGAGTCGTTGTTAGCCAATTGGGCTCGCTTTTCAGTGGAGGGCATAGAATAGTAAGAGAGAAAGCAACTAATCGAACAGATTTACCCAATTGAAGTTGTTCTGATGGTCAGGACTATGTTTCACGGGAAGAGCGTCGTCTATTGAGTAATGCTCGACGCAGAAACAGTTTTCTCGCTAGAGGTTCAGCTGTATGATAGACCTCTCAGTATATAACTCGACGGTTATTGTGATATTTGTTGGACAGATGATGTTGATATTGAGAATATCCTTATATGTATGTATGTATGTATGTAACATTCCTTTTTTAGCCATAATAATTAATCACTAATTTTTGGAAATTTTATTAATTTTGAAGCAGATTAACCTCTCCCCCATGTTTACATGTTCTTATAAATTTTATTCTGCAACTTGCTTTGTTCGTCTCACACCTAACAGTTTTCTCCTGCACAACATATCTACAGCCTTTGCCTTCCATGCAGCTTTAACGTAGCTTAGCTCTGATTCAGCTGTGATGTCGAAGGATTGGTTTTTAGATGTCACTTTACAACAGTTTGTTGCTGATGAGGTTCTTACTATCAACACAGTTTTGAAAAAGTCGATTGCTGTTTGTAGAGTCATATCGATACTAGGAAAGCAATAAACCTTGTAAAGCTGTTTGAAGAAGGCGATGAGGTAAATCTATGAACGTGTGAGTTAGAACCTTTTTGAAGATTGCTTATATCGCTCGGTATCGCGGAGATGCTCATGGTGGGTTGTCTTGCGACCAATTGAGAAAAACTTTCGAAACTTATAAGGAAGCCAAGTTTGCTATCACTTTCTGAACAACTTTTGTTTTCGTTTTCAGAGATCTGAACAAGAAAGTAGAGAAAGCTCTAAACGTGGTAGAATCCAAAATAACTGACCCCAAGGAGAAAAGTTTTGCGATGAACCGTTTGCGAGAAGCTCGAGAGCCAAAAGACATCACTGACATTACTCAAACTTACACTTCCGGGAGAAAAACAAAAGCAGATAAAGCTAGGTTCTTGTTCCTAGGACTACCTGTATTTCTGACTCACACACTACAGGGAGCTCGGTCTCGGATCTGCCGCTGAAAATATATTATCGGGGAAAACAATTGCATTGCAATCATATATCAACAAGAAGAGCGATGGTAGCGAATTCAGGACTATAAACTGAGTTCCAAGTTATTTCAGATTTGAATACGCTCAAGAAAGTAGAAAGTAATATTGTTTTCTGCTTATCAGATGCTATCAACCGTACCCCAGAAACCGTAGACTTCACGAAAGAAATGTCAGTTTGTTACATGTTCCTTTCGTATTAGAAATTATTTTGTTCAGTGCCAGTTTGGGTAATCGGCAAATAAGAGTATATGTGAAGTGTGATTTAACTAACAAAGCTAAAAAATGGACTCCAGATTGCCGAGAGTTCGGTTTGATCAAACATTTCGAAACATACGTTGCATTCAAGAAGGAAGCTGATAGAGTGCTCGGCTATCAGGTACAATCGAAGAACCAACTTGAAAAGGACTTATAGTCTTGATTGAGATACTAGCCATGGAGAGAGCCGAAGAAAAGGAAGTCTTATCTTGGAAAGTCGAAGTGGAATCTGACTTGAGACGTTTTCACCCCGCTTCTAGAATTCGGTATTTTCGGCACTTTTTCCTTATGCAACTTTGATCACTTGTAGAGTTCATCCGGATCATAAAAAACTTTTTGACACTGCACTTGAAGACTCTCTCACTCGCTTACTTATTCCTAAAGTTCAGAGATCGGTTAAGTAAGTTGAAGCTCTGAGCATATCCATCTCTCATTTCATTCATTTCCAGAAGAGTTTTGAAACAAAAAGGAGAGGCTGAAGCAATAGCATGTTTCTCTGCTAATCTGGTTCAGCTGTTCGCGCAAGAAGGGTTAGAAGGATGTTATATAATAGCATTAGATCCTGGTTATGCTGCCTGTAAATCAGCTTTCCTATCAGACACGGGTATGAACAAGACTTACAGCCGTAATATATTATTCATTGAAGGATCTGTCATTGAAACCATCTCATTCGGTTTGAGAGGAAACTCTTTCGATCGAAAAGGACAAGAAGTTCTATCCCGATGGGCCAATAATTGCAAAAACAAAGTGGTCATTGCTATCGGTAACGGAACAGCTTCTAAGGAAACTCAGAAAGCTGTTTCGGAAATGATCAAAAGAAAAGATTTCGCTAAAAATGATGTCAAATTCTGGTGAAAAAGATGAAAGTTCCTCCTAGAAATTCAATGATTCTTTCGCAGTGTGATTCCGGAGACTGGGGCATCGAAGTATAGCATAACACAACTGGCAGAAGCTGAGTTGCCGAACATCCCCATAACAGAAAAAAGTGCAGGTAATCATGTTTTCAATTTCTGTTATAATATCGAATGTTCATCCCAGTCTCCATTGGTAGACGACTATTGAATCCTATGGCAGAGTATGTGAAAATTGAGCCGAAACATCTAGGTCTTGGAATGTACCAAGTAACTCACAACATGATTATTCATTCCATCTCTTTATCAGCATTCAGTGAACGAGAAGAAACTCAGTGAAGCACTCGAGTTAGTTGTTCGCCAATGCGTATCATTACGAGGTGTTAACATCAACAACGCTTCTCTCCATTTATTGCAGTAAGTTTGATTTCTTAAATTCTATTTTTCTTCGTTCACTATTTCAAGTTTAAAGAATGAAAATCTCAGAGTACTCAGTGAGTTCATTCATTTTTTGAGAGAATGATAGCTCAGAACGGTTGCATTCAACGAGAGATTCTGCCTTTTCTCAATACCCAAGATTGATATTCTAGACAAGTATGTGGATTGAACAAGAAAACAGCTGAAGGAATCATAAAATTTCGAGAAAGCAATGGTCATTTCACTTCCAGAAAAGAACTGAAGGATGTCAAAGGCTTAGGACCAAAGTCTTTCGAACAGAGTGCAGGTTAGATGATACTTCAACTAGTTAATTGATTCTTGATTAAAGGATTTCTCATAATAACACCACCGGAAGATCGTTTTTGTCCAGATACAGGAGAAAGTAAGAAGAAGAGAAGCAAAGTAGATTATAATCCTTTGGACGGCACTACAGTACATCCGATGCACTATGACGTCGCCAAGAAGTAACAGATTTCCAGATTTTTGTAAATTTGTCTTGTGTTAAAGAACGTTGAAAGCTGCTAAAATCCCCTTGGAAAATGCTTCCAATCTTTCTGAGAATAATAAAACAACGCTGAAAGGCTTAGAAGCGACTTCAACGGAACAAAGTCTAGTGATTGAACTACTGACAGCCCCACCACGAACAGTAGCACCACCTCCACTTCAGGTAGAATCAAGAAACTGGATTTGTGTGGTTCATAGTCTATTTATAGAAAGAAGTTCGTTCAGCTTCATCTCTAACGATTGGAGAAGTAATTTTTGGTCGTGTGCTCAATCAAGTAGCTTTCGGAGTGTTTGTTGATATCGGTGCTGATTGTGCTGCTTTAGCACATAAGAATGTTCTTGTGGGTGGTCAATTCCCAGAGGTGAGAAATACAATGAAGAACTTTATAATCTAAGTGTAAATCTGAAGGTTGGAACACAACTATTGGTCAAAGTAACGACTGTGGATATCGCTCGTAAACGGATTAGTGTAACGCCCGTCACAGTTAGTTCTTTTCCTCTATGCTAGAAATGTGACCATTCTTGATGTATTATTATAATACAAAGAATGTTAAGTATTACGTATTGTTGTGAGAAGCTTGCAATGGTGGAAATGGTTTTCGAAATGAAGCTAACACCTACAAAAGTGATAATAGGACGGCAAAAGAACTAATGAGCGTAGAGATTGTTAGTGTAGTTATCTGCTGACAGCCATTCCCCAGCGCATTCCCTCGTTCTTCTTGAATTTGAATCAGCTCATCCTTCAAATTGTTTTTGTTGTTCTTTATATGGACTTTCTTATAATAATATTAAACCTTTGTTATGCCAGCGTCGGCCCACAAAAACTTTTCATTGCACTTGCTAGAGCCCCGACAACAACAGAGACGACCTTTACGTGGAGTTCCATCTTGCTGAAATGCGATTATTCCAAATTTAGTAGTTTTTGATTCCAAACATCGAATTGGAAATCCAAACAAAGGGATTGTGTTCCGTTTACTGTTGAAGCATCCATAGCTATATCTTCACATGTTGGTTGTGACGCCAGAGCCTCAGTATCTCTCCAACGCGAGTTGTTATGGTGTTTCTGGAAATCATGGATTATACTGCAGACGGAAATACATTTATTTAACCTTATCCTCTTCCAATGACATGTGATGCAATACAAGTTTTCGAGAATGACAACCTCGCTGAACTGTTGTTAAGCCACCTTCCGCATCCTATTGAACAACGTTTTGTATCAGTATGCATTTCACGTAACTCACTGCACTCAAGAAGGCAAAACACCATGGATCATCGCATGGTTTGAATAACCGAGCATCTTCGTTGGGCTCCTCTACCGAGTTGTAACATGATTGTCCCGAGGCGTATTTCGGCGACACCGGTATGAACCCTAAGTTGCATCCATCCTAAGAGAAATATAATCAGATGTCACTTGAATGATTATCCTTACCGCATCGTTACAGCAACAGACAGTGCTGTTGTCGCGAACGAAGCAACCACTATTCTTCTTATTCTTCAATGTTTCCTATAAAGCTCTAATAAGTTTATAATAATGCTTCATGTAACTCCTCACCTGACCGACGCAGAAGTTGGCTTCATCACAGTCAAACTTCCCGGAAGTTTTGTTATGGAAACACCATCCCCATATGTCGTGTCCTTTGCAAAATCCCTGAACGAATAGAATAACAATCACTTTTTTCTCAAGCTTTACCTTCTTATCATCTACACAGAAGCGTGAATGCAGAGGAATAACGATTGCAAGAAATATTATTATAGGACTAACAACATTTGCCATCTTTAGAAAATGGAAAGGATTATGTGAAAAAAGGGAAAGAACTTCGTCGTTAACGTGGTTTTGTGGTTTGAGGAAGGATGAACTGAAGCTGAAGCTTGTCTTGTAGTCTGTTCATATCGAATGATGACATGCATTTGGAAAGAATTGCTTCTCATTCATTTATCATTACTCATGCTACAAATATTTCTTATTGCACATTGACTTGAAAATTCTGGAAAAGCATTTATATCTCTTTATTTGGACATGTGCTAGAGAAGCATCTTACTGACAAGCCATGTACAGACTGTTCTCTTTCTCTCTGTATCTCTCTCTCATTCTGCTGCTTGTGTCTGTGTGAGGGAGGAAAGAAGCGAGGGAGAGAGAGAGTAATGATTGAATTTTATATTTCCTCCTGCTTCTTCCTTGTTTCGTTTTTCTCATCCTCTTTCGTCTGTTCCATTTTTTTGAGCACGCCTGTCTATCATAACTGTTGTGCTGTCTGGCTTGTTAAATAATTTCGTGAAGTGAGACTGCAAAACGGAAGTTGATGAATGAATATTTGAATAATACAAAGATTTTGAGTCTTTCCTGTATTCAATCGTTGTAACACAGCACCAGAAAGCAACCGCTCATCACTTGCAAACGCTTAACAATGAATGAGCCTAAGAGATGTAATACACGTGAATCACGTAAATATGCTAATGAGACGTGTTACGTATAAAATTCTTTATTATAATACATGTTATATACACAATATCAGTAGCAAATATAGTATAAAATAGAAATATATATAAATATATATTTTACATGTGCTTACTGTTTATGAAAGTGACGGCAGTAGCAGACGAAGGGAAAAGCATGCTGTGAATTCGTTCCTTTCTGTGCTTTTATTTCTCACAAACCAAACTTTGTTTATGGCAATATGCTACGATTGGAAGATGGAAGATAAAGAGAGAGAGAGAAAGTTGTTGTTTGGGTGTTTGTGGGTGTGTATGTATGTATGTGAAAGATCATAAGAGAGGATATATCTATATGATAGATGAAGTTTATTGAAAGATAGCACTCCATACCGCTTAATTGTACCTGATGTTGACGTTTGTAGTTTGAACTTAAGTGTGAAGTTTGGAAGGAAATCGGTATAATTGCTTAATTTGAATGTTGTTAGGCCATGTACGAAAGGAAATTGAAAACTACAAGCCAATACTGGCCTGACGTGTAATGTTGGGAGCTGACAAATTTGCTTGCCGGCTGAAGATAGGAGAAGATGGAACGGACAAAGAGTGAATGAGGGTTGGTGGCGCTAATAAGCGCGAATTTAATGATTGAGTTGTCGGTTGAAAAGCCGACTTTTCACCTGAGCCCAAAAAGCTTGGAGAAGGAGGACCTGCTGATGCTATTCCACTGGGTAAACCGGCACTGCCTAATGTCAACCTAGCGGCGCTACTACTAGCTGAAAGTTACATATCCATATTGGTAGAGGGGAGTAAGTGCTTACCGCTATCTATGTTGCCCGAACTGCCATAAAAAGCTGGATTCGCCAGTGTCGGAAGTAAATTTGTTGCAAAAGGTGAAGTGGGAGAAGTTGGCAGCATGGCTACAGGCTGTACGGGTGCTATGGATTCGGTGGACAAGCTGAGTTGTCCGATTGGAATGTCTTCCTTCAGATCGTGTGTTCGGAAATGTCTTGTTATCATATCACGCCGACTCTTCAAATATCTTATTCAAAATAATAAAATATTAAATGAGCTTACAGCCGTATAAGGACATTTGGAGCATTGATAGGGTTTTTCTCCCGTATGAGTACGTTGATGCGTCGATAGGTGATCAGAACGAGAAAATACCTGTCCGCATACTTGGCACTCGTATGGTTTAGCGCCTGTATGCAAACGCATATGCCTTAAATAGAATATTCAAATTTGAATATTACCATACTATACCTAGTCAACATATCGCTACGTGTGAACTTTTTTGTGCATTGTGAACATTTGTGTATTTTGGCTTCTTCTTCTTGTGCTGCTGTGGCACTTCGATCACGGTGGCGAGATGCTATGTGCTTTGCCAGCCGATCATGACATGAAAAACCCTGCAAATATGGATATGAGCACAAATTTTGCATAATTTTGAACGAACTGCTCCACATGTTGGACAAGCATACACGCCATTCGCAAAATTGTGAGCGATTGGCTGCTGCGTGCGCGATACATCCGTTTCCGATTGACTACGTCTCCACAAGGTGTTTCCTTTAATCGGGCCAACTTCAGTTGTTCGTGCTGCATTTGTCGTTCGAGGCATTGCTGTTGATAAGCTCGAACCCTTGAGTATTGGGAATGCCCGTGCTGATGATTGTGAACCTGCTTGTGCCAACATATGCGCATTAGGACTTGACTGTAGTAATGCGGTCTGTAGACAAGCTAGCATTTGAGATTCAATCCAATGTGGAATCGTTTCTATTGGTAGAGTATTTTTTAATGTGAGATCAAGAGGGGTTGTCGCAGATGCAGCTGCGGCTGCTACTGCTGCTGCTAACTCAGAAGTTAGAGCTGACACCGCAGGAGTGACGTGCGGCTGATGTAAAATTGAAGGTGGCATAGTTGCGGTAGACGATTCATGTTCCATTCGTTCAATGGCGGCTGAAGGGAGTCTGTCGTTTTCATGAGAAGCGTTCACGAATTTGCAAGGCGATAGTGGGCGATCGCTTACCCGACTGACACTACGTAAATCTGATTCATCTACCTCGGAACCCTGTAAATGGAAATAAACAGATGTAAAATAGGATCGGTAGTTTGCTGATACGTCACATGAACAGTTATAATATGAAACATACCGTACAACTAGGAGGTGGACTGCTACTGCTCCTTTTGGCTTTAATCTGTGCTTGCTCTTCCTGATATTGAACCAAAAGGCGTTTTTTGAATGAGCCCGGTGCTGATCGGGAAGTTGTCGCCGGCACGGAAATTGTTGAAAGCAGAGAAGTATCCATGCACTCCTCTTTTGGCGACATGTCACTATCAGATCGGCTGCGTCCTCTGGAAAATATTTTTTGGTTTGAAAATATTACATTTTAATTATGTAAATGCCAATTACCTTGATTCGATGTCCAAGGTTGCCATGCCGCATGAAGGATCTAACAGATGCATGTTATGTCCCGACATGGAACTTGAACTACGAACAGGATCGAATCTGAATTGGTTGTTGTTTATGTAAAAGAGGATATTATATGATATTACGTGAAATGGTTGAACATTCCAGTTATGGGATTGGGTGATACGGTGGGTGAACGAGCAAAAGCTGAAAAAGGTGTTTCGGATCCTTCGCAATCAGAGAATGGAGAATATGGCGCGGGAGATAGCATAAGACCAGGTGACAAAAGGTCTTTGCTGGATACATCAGAAGATCCATCGTCCAAATCGAAGCTGAAACTAAGTTTTTTGTTTAAATTTGAATATTCCCGAAAAAGGAGAAACCTGCTCTTATTTTGATCACGATAGCAGCTCCATGGGCTGAGAGTGGATGTAGTTATGCTAATTGAACTACGTGGACTTGAGCCCAAATCGGAAGTAGGATATGAGGAAGGAGAAAGTGGAGATAATTTGGTGAAATCATGAGCATAGGCAGTTGTAAGCTTAAAATCAAATTTGAATATTATTCAAAGAAAACTCTTCAAAATTACCAAATTGACACGATTCATGGAATCAATATTCAATGGCGACAAGAATCGTTTACGGCCGCCGGGTGATGTTGGTGAGCTTGGAGCCGAAGGTCCTTGCTCACAAATTAAAGGAGGAGTCTGCAATCAGTTATATCAGATGAATTTAACGAAGAAATAGAGAAAAGCTTGTAAGTCATTTTTTCTTGAGCGAATGAATGTTTCAAAATACTCGACATGAACGACATGTTGACGAGAAGTATGTCAAAGATGAGAAAACAAGTTGAAATGAATGTTGTGGACGAACGATTTCCTTGACATGAGCTTTCTGATCAGAATGCCTTTCATAACCTTAGTATGGATATGCGTTCTCTCTACATCCATCTCCCCTCCATGTATACCCTTTACATCATCACTCCTTCTCTCTAACTATCTCGCTCCCTCCTTCTTTCTCTCTCTTCCTCTCTTACTATTTCACTATATCTTAATACATTCACTATTTTTCAGTACTCGAATACGGGCTTACTTACCTCAGAATCCGAAATTTTTCTGGCTTTTGACGTCTCTCTCAAAAAAACATAGAATGAATGCTGGAAGATTAGAGGAGGAAGGAAAGATTCTGAATAACTTCAGGTCAGGTCGTCGATTGCAATTTGAGGGAGTATGAAATCAATGCAATCGATGACTCCACTGCTTTTTCTCAAAAGACAGATGGTTGTACTTGACAAATGCTTTCTCTTGCTATCTTCCTCTATCTCCTTGAGCATTCATCTCTCCCTACCTCTCGCACACTTTCTGATCTCTTCATTGGTTATCCAATCTTATGTGATAGAAAATCGCTGAGTTTCTATTCTTTCTATAGTCAGAAAATTGCTTGAGGCATTTCTCTATCGTCTTCTCTCTCCATTTCTCTTTCTCTCGCTCGTGTTGGGTGGTGCAACTACTGAGAGAGGATATGAGATTACCCATTAGAGAGTCATCAACCATTCCTCCCCCCACCACCTTCTCACCTTCTGCTGTAATCTTTACATCAAAAGCTGAGGGTAAAAAAAATAGTTTGTATTTTTACGTGGCGTGGGCTTTACGTGGGAATTACGTGACAGCCGATCAGGTGCTCATGTTCATTTTAATTTGTACGATAATGAGAACGGTTGTGTCTGTATGCTTCTCTATATATGGTCGTCGATGTACATGTGTGTGGGAAATGATACAGAAGTAGAAGATGAATGTAATTAGCGAATGGATAATCAGAGATTAGAAGAGAGTGAATCTTCAACTTGAGCTCAAACACAATGTTTCAACACGTTGATATGATAACAAAATAAATGAGATTGTTTTCGTCATGGAAAAGCTGAGAGCAAAGGCTTCATAACTTCTCGTCAGATATGATCGATGATTCGTTATGACAAGAGAAGCATAAAGAAATAGAAAGAAAAACAAATCAAATCATTAGCATTAGCTTTGATGAAGACGGAAAACGCTATCGGACGGTATACATGGCATGGCGTGGGAGGCATGCTTATTAACTTTCAGAACTTCAGCATGTTTTATCTTCTATTGCGTTCTCTCTGTGCGTTTTGAGATGATGAGGGAAAGCTTTTTCCCTTTCTCTATCTACAACTCCCTCTCTATCTCTCTCTCTATCGTTTCATATACCTCTCTCTTCATCGCCTGTTCTCAATGCCCTCTGAATAAATTATGCAAGTAGCAGGTTTTGATATCAATTTTCAATAATATTCAGATGATTTGCTTACGTCAGCAGGCGAACTACACCCAGAGTTCTTAGCCGATTATCTGATTTTTTATATTCTGGGTTAGTAAGCATTAAATCAGAATATACAATGAGAAAGTAAAACAGAAAATCTGTTGTCACTTCCTCTAGAAAATGCAGAAATAGCATTTCCTTATGATTTGACTCAAATGACTGATTTGACTGACTAACTGATTAGCTTACGATAGATGACGAACATTACCTTAAATACTCCATTCGGTCTCCCTCCTTCATTCGGCGGCAGAAGGAGGGATGGTGGACGAGGCATTCCATGCTCGTTAATTTTGAACTGCTGCAATATCACACTAATTATATGGTAAACGAATACACATATATTATATGGAGTGAGGGGGTGAAAGAGAATATAACCAACGATTGTGAAAGATGAAGACGAAGAAGGAGATGAAGATGAAGAAGAAGGAGATGAAGAAGAAGACGAAGAAGCATCAATAAGAAGATAAAGCAGATTAAGCTGATAATAGAAGAAGCTAATGCTGCCAGAAAAAGTGAGGGAGCAGAGCCATTTTCTCAGAGACGGCTGAAGAGAAGGGAAAAGTGAGCAAAAAGAAAAAAAGCTTCTCCTCCTTCCCTCCCTTCCTACTTCCATATCTTTCTCTCTCTCTCTCTGTCTCTCCCTCTCCCTCTATTACTTTCCCTCTTTGTGTCTCTCCTACCTCCTCCGCCTCTCTCTCCTTTCTTAATCAGTATATCTTACTCTCTCTCTTTCTTTCTCTCTCTCTCTCTTTCTCTCTCTACATCCATATATCTATATATTCGATTTGACACAAATAATGATAAATGAGACAATAACTATATGAGAAACTGAATGTACATACTACATATTTTGTTTTAAGGAAATTAAAATCAAAGACATGATGGAGGCTGAAACTTTCGATTCAACCTATATGGAGCAAAAAACAAAATGTGGTTGGATGACAAGGATAATCAGCAAATTGTGTTGTTAGCAGTTTCTCCTCATCATCATTATGATCAGCACCTACCACGTTGTTTTGCTTTTGTTGTCTGATTGCACATATCACATCACAACACACATACACACATGTACACACTCACATACACGCACACACACACACATACATACACGCACAATATGGTATTTATGAGACACGATGATAATTAAGAGATGGAGAGAATCATGTGAATAGATAGATATTGAAAATGAAATGATGATATTCCTTCCGGGGGTTGAAACGATAAGCACATGGCTTCATTATTCCTCTCATTTCAGATTGTTTTGGTTATGTAACTCCCTCCCTTCCTTTCCTCCCTCGTTCTCTTTATGTCTGTCACCCTCTCTCCTTCCTTTCTCTATCTCTCTCTAACATTCTCACTGATAGATAATACCAAAACAGGTATACTATATGAAACATAATCAGCATAATATATATATATATGAATACAACCGTTCGTTCCTGTAATATACTGTCAAATGAAGATGTGCATGCTTACGTCAGACTTGTCGTTTTTTAAAAAATACGTGAATTTACGGGAGAGACAGATATGCTAATTAGTTGCCGATTAGAGTGTTTAGTAGCGTATTATGAGATATATCTTGGAGATTTTGATGGATTATGAAGCAATCTGATGATTGAGACGTCGCAGATAATCGACAACGACGATAAAGGTAGATGAGGATGAAGCATGAAATCAGTTAAGCTCATGTTTATTGACACAATATACATGATGTTCTAGCTCATTACGATGGGCTTCATCTCTTTACTCATTCTAAGCTTTATAATACTTCTGTGTTGGTCTTTTTCCTCATTCAGTATTCTTCATTCTCTCTCTCTCATTCTTCTTCTTCTTCTACTCTTTTAAAAAATTAAATGGCGATAAGCTGAAAAGCTTTTGAGCTTTTGGCTGGAAAAGAGACTGTAATGGATGATTGCGAGAGAAGGAAGACGAGATGGCTTCAAAGGCTAATAAGTCAGTAAGGGCAGGAGAATGAAGAGAAGAAGGAGAGGAAGGAATGGTCAATGCTAGTGAGAATGATGCTGATGCAGCTGATGATGATTATGATGATGATGATGATGCTGATGATGATGATGATGATGCTTAGTGATGAAGAAGAAGTTGTTAAAATGAAAAATAAAAAAGAAATAATATGGGTGCCATATGGGGAAGGAGAAAGCGGAAGGAAGAGATGAAAGCAATGCTTAATGCTTACAAAGCTTAATTGCTTTGCTACAGCAATTTTTGATGTCAAATGAGAAGGAAAAGGCCATTTTTGATTGAAAAAACGCAAAAGGAAAGAGAACATTTGATGGAACTGAATGAATTCAAATCACATTTTGTTCATTATTTTCTTTGTTTTCTTTTTCTTTCTTCTCACTATGCTAATGAGATTCATTTGTTTTCTTATTCGACCATCAACACAAGTACAACGGATATTGGAAGGTGTAGGATTAAGACTATCACATGGCTTCACACCATGAGAATGATGATGATGATGATGATGAAACACATATACATATACATGCATATAACATATATAGACATACATAGACATACATACATACAAAACACATAAGAACAGCTTTGGACTCTTCTTTTTCCCCCTCCCTTTCCTTGCCAACACCACCAAGAACCTCCTTCTCCTCGCTACCAACACACACACCTCATTCAAATTCTCTTTCATACACCTAGCGAGCAGGATAAGAGACATAGAGAGAATGCGAACGTATAAGAGAGTCGAGAAATGGAGCAATAAAAGACTTTTTTCTTTCCTGTTCATCAAAGCCATATATAGCCGGAAGCAAATACTGGGTGGGGGAGTTAGCATCGTGAGGGTGAGAAAAACTGCAGAAAAAAGGTTTTTAAAGCAGTGAAAGTACGAAATGAAGATGAGTGAGATGAAGATAAAGAGAGATATGAACAGAGAGAGAGAGAGAGAGAGAGAGAGAGAGAGAGAGAGAGAGAGAGAGAGAGAGAGAGAGAGAGAGAAAA